TTCCACATAACCAATGTAAAAATGTACTTGTTCCTGGACTCATTTGAAATTGTATTAAACGATCATTAAGTGTTACGGTACGTTCATTTAATATTCTTAATGAACATACATCAAGCCATATACCACATATAAATGGAAAAAGAAGAATTTCTAATATAACCAGTAATGCAACTTTTAATACAATATAAGCAAGACCAACAAGACGACGTATACGTGTTAAATAATTAACAAAACTTAATGTAGTAAATGTTATTAAAAGAAAAAATGATATGAAAATATAACCAACCAAAGCATTAACACAACCTGAAATAAAAATATTTGAACGAAAACGAAAAAAAAGAAAAAAGATTTGTACCATAAGTTATTAAAGTATTGATTGGAGTTTCAAGACGTGTATTGATAATACTTTGTCGAAAGGTTTTACTAGATGTTATGATTTTACCAAGATGAAAAGGTGCATAAGCAAATATAAGAATAAATAATGTATTAAGTGTTACAACCCAAAATACATGTTCAAGAAATTGTAATGAACCATCAAGTCCTAATAATCGTTCCCATGTTAAATCATCAGCAGCTCGATCCCAATCAATCCAATTATGATTATTTTCTTGATTTTGTGCATTTTCACCGGCACCAGCTGGCTGAACAACTAAATTTGCTTGTTCATCTTCACCATCTTCATCTTCATCATCATCATCATCATCTTCTTCTTCATCATGAACAGCATCAACAAAAGCAACTTCTTCATGTTCAGGTTCATTTTCTATTATAAAAGAAATTAATATGATACATTCAAAATAAAATAACTTACGAGCTAATGGTTGTTCAATATTAACAGGAGCAAGAGGTTCTGGTGGAAGAAGAGGAAGAGGAGCCAGAGGTAACTCATCAGTTGGTGCTAGTGGTGGAATAATATTTATTTGTGGTGGTACTGGTGGTTGTCGTATAGGTTCAGGTTCAGCTGGTTGAAGCCAAGCTGGTCCACCACCGGTAAGAATTTGTTCTCGTAACCAAAGTAAACAAATAAAAGCACCAAGTGAACAAAAAACAACTAAACCACCTTGAAGTACATCAGTAAATAAATGATCAGTAGAAACAATATCATATGGTAATGTAAGAATTGATGATATTGATCCAGCAAAAAGGCATCGATATATACGACTAGCTGTTATAGGTACAACACCGAGCCAACAAAAAGCAACAATAAGATAATGAAGCCAATATCTTAATGCTTTAAAAAAAGTACGTAATAAACCATTGATTAAATCTTTCAATGGTAAACGACCAGGTGGCATTGATGGATGATAAATAGGTGTAAATCGAAACTTTGTTCCACATAATTCACATTCATCTTTCCGTGATACTTTTAACCATTGAATTAAACTATTATAAAAAAAAAAATTGTATTATTATTAATAAATTTTTTTATACATTTATATATATATATATCGAAAAAATCTTACCAATCGTCATGAACATATCGAATACTTCCATGACATAAACATGGATAGAAGAGTGGTCGATCAGATGTACCTTCACATCGGCATACACGACAAATGTCAACATCTAAATATAGAGATTAGTTAAAAAAATTTCATAAATAATATTTATTTCTCATTCTTTCTTACCTGTCATGTCGTTTTCAGTATTTACTTCATTTGCCATTATAACTTTTCCATATAAATAAATTTAACATCTAAAAATACACAGAAAATTCAAACAAACGATTTCTATTATAGACTAGTTTGAAAGAAACAGAAAAAAAATGACTTCGAAAATAAAACCAATGACTAATCACTCGACAATAATGATTAAAAGAAAAAAAAAAAAAGCTAAATTTTTTCATCATAAGTTTGTCGTAAATTTTCAAGCCATACTAATCGATCAATAGGTTTCGTTTGAAAATATGATTGTTGTAAAGATGAATATGTTTCAATAACTGGTATTACATTTCGATATGTATTATCTTGCCAACAATAATTGAAACGTCTTAAAACATCAATTATTAATGATTCATCACCTTTTAACATATCAATTGGTTCAATACGAGGTAATAATGGATATTTAAGTGTTTTAAAAATAAGAACTGATCTTAATGCAAACCAACCACCATATTTTGGATGAAGACATACACCCATCATATTCTATATTTAAAAAAAAAATGCTTTCAAAGAAAACATTTAATAAATAAAAACGATTTACTCGATCTTTTGGAAATGGATCATTTTTGAGTTGTTGACGACTATAAAAATGAGCTGCCCCTGAGATATGACCAACTGTTTGCATAACTATTTTTGGTCGTCGTGTTGGCCAAAGATCATAGTCAAAAAGAACATCAATTTCATGATCAGGAATGTTCTATTATACAAACAACATTAAATTTTCTTTTTTTTACTAAAAACATCTTTCATAAAAAAGAAACTAAATACTTTAATAACGGATTCAATTTTTTCTTTAACACAACAATCAATTGGATCACGAGTAAGATCTTTGTCTCTGTTGAGTGCATAAGGTAAAAATGTTTTTTCAAACATACTTGGTGTACTAACAATAAGAAAAGCAACTGTATCATCATCATATGTTGATAGATGAAATAATGGATCAACAACAGAATTATACCATGAAATCTAAAGAGATATTTTGTCTTCTATAAATAATAATTAATAGGTGTATAATTATTTACTAGAAACGGATAAACTTCAAAACCAGATTCAAGTAGATTATTTTGTAAAAGTTCATAGATTGCATCAAAACCCATTGTTATTAAAATAGAATAAAAAGAAAGATTTTTGATGATGATAACAGGCTTTCCAATAGAAATCTAAAATAAAAATTCAAATAGGTACTTCGTTTCTATTGACAAAGTATATGCTTGTTATTTTATTCTAAAAATAACAAAGTTATTACTACTCACAGTTCTTTTGTGAAAAATAATATATATAGAGAATAATGAAAAAGATACCTATTTTCAATTGACTAGGTTAAAGAAATTCTTCTTTGAATTAACTTTTACTATCATACATATATGTTGTATATCGAATAAATAAATAAAAAGCATAAAATGAAACTAATTATTATTGTTTTTCTTTGTCTATGCTAATATATTTATTGCACAACCATGAAATTACTTTAACTGAAACTCTTATTTTGATATACCGAGAAAAAAAAACAATTGAAGTATATATATAAGAGACTACGTTGAAAATGTAAAAGAAGAAAAAGAAAAATTTCAATGATGAATTTGATAACAGGAAAAGAAAAAAAAAAATACTTCGGAGATTCATCAGTCATTAGAAAATATAAACAAGAGGAAAACAAGTAACTTTATAATTATAATGAAAAACATAAGCAAAGAATTTTTTCTACTTTACAGAATGACATGACTTAAGGTCTTTTCCATATAGTGAAGTAGACAGTGCTTTTTCAAGTTCGTATGTGACTTAGGTACTTTATTTTTGCTTGAGGTACTTAATATTGGAAACACTGGGCAAGAATGACGACAACAGTTTAGATCTATGTCTGATTGGACCTATATAATATAACTAAATGAATAATGAGAATCATCCAAAAATATAGATGTCGCATCATTTTGCTATGACGTACGATATTTAATGATATTTGAAAACTGCTATAGTTGCAAATATTCAACATAATGAAATTTTCAAATTCTATATTAACAAGTCTAGTATAAAAGAATTTAATCCTGCGGTTGAAAAAACTTTTAATTTCATTTGTAATATCTTCGATCTTATCGTGCAAGTCTTACACAATGATGTATAAAATTTTTTTCATTGATAAAACTTCTACCTTCAACATATCGATATTTTCTACTGTGAAAACTTTATATAGGAAAATCTCAAAAAATTTACAATAAATTTCAGAAGCAATACACTTATCTAAACGGTAAAAATCCATATATTTCGATTCGAAAAAGGATTTTGGAAGGAGCAAGATTCTATCACTTTTTAGGTTGTTCCTGTAGAAATTTGTATTGTTAGATGAAAAGTATCTGTCTGATTTCAGAAGAGTTTTTCCTGAGCCGACGTCTATAGGCAAGACTACCTATACCTACGTGTCAAATTTTCAATGTTTGTTATTCCGAAAAGTTATCGAAAGCCATGTTCAGAACATAAAATTTTTTCTCAAAATAGAATAAAATTTGTAAAATTTTGTCAATTAATAGTATTGGACACTGTTGTAGTCAGAGAATGCCGAGCGAGAAGTCGAAAAGTGACTACTCTCCTCGAATCTTGGAAAATTTTTGCTTTTTTCTAGCAAATCTGAATGATTTTTTTCGTTTATTTTGTTTACCAATCTTCGCCAACAAGAATCGCTTCCTCTCAATCTTGTAAGAATTTCTATTATGTTTTCTTGAAAATCTTCTTGCATAGAGTCTTAGATGAGTAAAACATTCGTTCTACAGGTATTTCTAGAAGATCAAAATAATTTTCATAATTGGTAAATCTAGTTTTGATATTATATCTCGGTGTACAAGTAGAAAGTTATATTGTGAATAAAAAGCAAAATAAATGAAAGAAATTGCCAAACATCTAATCTCAGATACCGTTCACAAAATATTATTGAAACGATCAATGATTCATGCTGTTGTCAAATTGAAATTTAAAATAAATAATATGCAAAATATCCTTGTGGTCTGAAAAAGTTATCTTTGAAAATAGCGCCGTCTATCAGCGCTGAATAACTACTGGAGATTTCAATTATTTATCTATATCATGCATTGCACACAGATGAGAATATTCTGAGTGATCATGAAATTAATTTTTTCGTCCGTCCAGGATGTGGTTCTCATTGCAAGACACTTCCGACACCGTACTTTGTCAAGGAACACTACGCTTATGGCATCTAGTTCTTGTTACAATGTATACATTCCAAGTGATGCTATTCCTACTGAACAAACAAAAATCAAGCTTGCAAATCGTATCTTAGTTTCTCCTCTTAGTAAGTAGCAAACTATATAGTCACAACATGTTATACCTTCTATGCATACTCTAGTTGTTGGTACTTGGGCATGGGGAGACAAAAATATATGGGGTTGGAACAAAGAACTCGATGTAAAAGCTAAAGAAGCTTTTGACATGTCCTTGTCAAAAGGAATTAATACTTTTGATACTGCTGAAATTTATGGATTTGGTGAAAGGTGAGTTGAAATTGATTATGAATATTAACAGAGAAAATAATAGTTTTTAGTGAACGTTGCATCGCTCGATATAAAGCTAATCAACCAGTTGCTAGTACTAAAAATATTGTTATTGCTACAAAATTTCTTCCTCTTCCTTACAAATTATCTTATCCAAGTTCATTGATCAATGCACTTCGAGCAAGTCTGGATAGATTGAAGGTATCAGATAACTTTAATTCGTTTTGATTTGTATGAAATGGTTCAATGAACTACGATATATATATATATTTAATGTTAAGTTTTCTGCGACGATAACAAATGTATATGATTTGTTGAAAAATACACTTACAATACGTCCTATTTTGAAACTTAATATTTAGTCATGATAAATTATTGAGAATTTTCGAAATTCGTTTGTCTATATCTGACTTCTAACACCTGAAAACAATTATTGTAGCTTCTTTTTTTAGTAATTTCGCTGTTAAAACGAAAAATAAACGTTAATCATCTTAAGTATATTTATTTGATAAGAAGAAAAAGAAATTCAATAATAGAATAATATTTTAAGATTGAAGATCTATTGTTCTAAAATACCGATTCCGACTTATACTCTAATTGATCATAGTAATTATTAAGAGAATAAAAAACAATATGAATAAGTTAGCTGATTTTCTGCTGTAAAAAGTGAGCAGTATGATAAATAATACTGGTGTAAGCATTGATCATTCTTTCAATTCGTTTTGCACAAACTTATTTTTCTAAATCATCAAGAAGAGCGAATAGTTTTTTAGGAGCGAGGATGTGATCAAAGGATATCTAACTCCATCATTTTGATGTAGATGTAATCATTTACAAAAATCAACATCACCAGAAACGTGTCACAGATAATCTAAATAAAATATGGTTCTCGTTACAGGTGGATTGCATCGATCTCTATCAAATTCATGGTCCTATTCATCTTCGTTCTATTGAAGTTGTTGGCAATGCACTAGCTGAAACAGTTAAACTTGGTCTTACTAAGACTGTAGGTGTTTCCAACTATTCTACAACTCAGACGATCAAAATGTATGATTGTTTACAAAAACATAATATTCAACTTGCATCGAATCAAGTTGAATTTTCACTTCTTCGACGTTCACCAGAGACATCAGGACTTATTACAGAATGTCATAAACGAGGTATTGCTGTTCTGGGATATTCTCCACTTGTAAGTCAATGAAGGTCATTCCAAATAGTAAAATTAGTATACTATACGATTCTTTGCTTTCTTTTTCTTGATGGTCATAGGCAATGGGTCGTCTGACTGGTAAATATTCGCAAGCTAATTCACTTCCTGCTAATCGTAACCTCTCCAAAATCAATATGGATGAATTGGAGCCATTGTTGGAATCAATGCGTTGCATTGCAGACAAACGTAATGTTAGTGTCTCTTCTGTTGCGTTGAATTACGTTATTTGCAAAGGTATAGTAAAACTTACTGTCTGATAAATGGAAAAAAATCACTATTACTAATAAAAAAGAAAAGAGTATCTCAGTCTCTAGATAATATGAATCCTATGTCACTCTTAGACAGAAGTTGTACAAATGAAAAGAACAGTCAAAATATGTCAAAAATCATATAAGAATTTAGTGATTCGTATTAGATTATTAACAGCCACAGAAAAAAAATCTCATGTACTCATTAGTTTACTTTTATTGAACGGCAATACATTTGATCATTAGCTCATGAAATTACTATCTGATATATAGTTTTGGACTAAACTTGAACAAAGTATATGTTTATTTTAATAAGTTTGAATTCATGTCAAGATCAATATCGTAATAGTTAAAGTTTGAGACTATGTTAAGAAGTATTTCGAGTTACTCGTTGAAGAAATAGAATTAAAAAATATAAATAAACTGCATGCTGTCTTATGAGAAAGTTATTCGATATGATCGATAAAACACTAAATCGATCAAACAACATTTGTTTACACTATTTTCTAGTATTCTCATAGCTATATCTCTCATAACAACACAGATGAATGCATTTCTTGGATGTTTTGTTTTTATAAAAGAGGTGTCTTCAAAAAATTGATAACTCGAATATTTGAGACAATTTATCGTTGTTTTGCTTTTATATTCTAAATCAAGACACATTCAATTTAAACAATAGAAATTTTGATATATTGACATTTTATTAGTATTATTTTCTAGGTGTTATTCCTCTTGGTGGTGCTCGTGATGGTAAGCAAGCTGAACAAAATGCTGGTGCTTTAGGATGGCGTTTGACGAATGAAGAAATTGCACGATTGGAAAGTCACCATATCAATCCAAAGTTGTCCTTCTTAAATCGTTTTTTGCAACGTGGTTGAGAATATGATATTGCCCGTGGTTAACTATTCCATGCTTGATAATATACAATACTAATAAATTTTTTTAAAACTATTTCGTATACGAATAAACTAAACAAATCTTTCATGTGCCAGATATCTCAGTCATTATGTACCATAATGTTTTAAAGAATTGCCTCTACTTCGTTGTTTTTCACACATTTTTAAAAAATGAGAAGATGGAATACCAATATTGGTAAGCCGGTCTAGACAAAGAACAAACGCAGTTACCAAAGATAAAAAGTAGAGAATTGCACGAAAACAAAAACATAGAGTTACAAAAACAAACATATGGGACTGTACAAGGCATACACATAAAATAAAATATTTGCTATTGGACCTTGTTTGTCGAATGGTTACCACGTCGTCTAAATGAGTTCTTATGATATCCATCAAATTGCTACATCTAAATCATAGGCAGTTTTGGTTTTAGTAACCATCGGCATACTTTACGGCTAACCATACACACAGAGTTTAGTTACTAAATTATAACATCTTATTTTTCCAGCCACGATTTAGCTCATGCTTTCATCACTCTATCACAACTTTTATTTGAGCACATATATATTCATTTTTATTGTTCGTCGATATTAGTTCATTTATTCTTACTTTTCATATAGCATTCCAACGTCGATCTGTGACTTTTTTTGAAAGCAAGTGCGTTGATGTAAAATTAAGCTGCGTCAATTTCTACAGATCCTGTTCCACAGCATACATGCAGTAGCATCGTTGACTATCCTCGAGGCAAGAAGCGAAGAAACCATCATTTTATTATGCTTAGACAGTTAGGTTAATTCTTGCTCAATCTGATGTTTGGCTGCTCTGTCTTTATATTCTCGGACAAGATGTGTCATGTCGAGTTGTATCATGATGTCTTTAACACTTATGATTAATTGTTTGACGCCAATCATCGTTATCTTGAACTTCGCATCTTCCCTTTTTGATGTTAATTACAGTGAGACATTTCGAGATTTTATCTCGCCACACGCATTAGACAACATGCCATATTGTCTTAGATTTTTGGAGTAAAGTAAAAAGAATCTTTGTCGGCAACATTAGAAAGGCCTAAGCTATATTCATTGGATTAATATGGCGTTACCAACTAAATCTACTCCTTCTCAAAATCTTGAACTCCAAACGACGTCGTCTCAGTATAGAACATAGTACTCAATTGGTGGAAAATGTACAAGAACTCTAGTGTAGGGAGAAGAGAATAATTATAAGAAAGTACGTTCGATCATTGTTATTTTTTTCTCAAAAATTTATTTTATCTTAAAATATTTCAAAAAATGGAAGATTATTTCTCTAACAGTTCTTCACACATTAGTTGTTTTTGCGTGGCGTCCTCTATATAAGTGTTGCCTATTTTATTCCTTCAATTTTTGTTAGCTAATAACTCGATCAATGCAATTGATTTCAACACAATCTGTACACTATTCGTTATGTTACCAACGTTTCGGTTGCCATGTACTTCCAGTAGAAGCAAGCTAGTTGAAATGTACTCGATTCTGATGATTCTTTTTACGGTGATATATCTCAAAAGTTGAAAGTAACTTACTTGACTTTTTAAAGAGATTTCAACTAACAAACAATTAATATACAATATGTAATCGATATCAAACACTTATTTCATTCATATGTTATTCTTGTAAAAGTAAAATATTCTCTCTTTTACACTTAATATCCTATAATTTATATTATCATCTCTTTTCAAAATGGATCGAGTAACCAAAATAAGCCACTATACTTTCCACTAGAGAAGTCTAAATAATCTGAAAGAAATCATAAATGAAGATCAATTACTTGCTCTTAGTTGAACTTATGGAAACATTGCTCAATTATTCAATATTATCACTAATAAACATCCATCATAATCGAAAAACAAAAAATCTTGATATACTTTCATATATAGTTAAATAATAAAGAGTTGATGAGTATTTTAGATATGAGCAAGTCTCATTTATGCATCAACGATGTCTTATCAACAGAAATATTACAAAAGATTTTTCTTTTGTCCATTGAATCATTCAGTCATGCTTTACAAATATCGAGAACATGTCGACTATGGCGACAGCTCATTTTCAATCCCTTTATAATTGAACATATTTGGAAGTTCGATAATAAACATCGTAAAAAAGGCTTAGTTCGATGGTGGAATTTTAACGCAAATGTGACTGATCAGAATGACCCATTTGTTAACTTCGCAACTGCCGATTGTTTTTTGGGTAAATGTGTTTCTTTGACATACGAAAATGAAAATTCTGAACAGACTGATATTGACAAATCTCCATGCGTCATCGATAGAGGCTATGATTATACTGTAGCATTTTGGTTGCTAATCGCTGCAACGGGTAAATATTATTTTTCTTTTCAGAATTAATTTGGAAACAACTATTGTCACCGCAGTTAATTCAGTCATACAAATATTGTCTTGCTCATATCTAATCATAACATAAATAAACAAATATTATGATAGTATAATTAGCATTTTGCAGAATATGAACTTTTGATGATCAAGTCCATTTTGTGAAGAACTTTAATCAAAATGTACTTTTCTTTTTTTATCATGTAGCTCATGAGCCTCGTGCTGTATTTATGGTGCGTGATGATGACTGGGATTATGCGCGTTCAGCTGGAGTGGCTATAGACGAAAATAGTTTTCTTTCAATAGTATTTGCATCAAACATCGGTAAACATATCGTTAAATCTAATGTTCAGATTAAACCAAACGAATGGTTCCATATTGTATTGGTACAAGAACGACAAGCAGGTAAAATCCACTTGATTAATCTTATTGATGCTAATGATTGAAAATCAATGATCTTTATTATATTACAGATGCACGAACTCCTCAACAGAATTTATGGATTAACGGTAAACTTGAGTTAACTATTGAAGTACCAATAGCTGCATATAGCAGTACAGCTACTGTTTCTCTTTTCTTATGGAACAAATGGAAGCGTTCTATAGCTGACATGTCATTTTGGTCAAGACGTCTTCTACCAATAGAAATTCGCGCAATCTATGAACAGAAAATATCAATTGATAAAGTGGATGTAGCGAATTATATTTTTTGTCATTTAAAGTGAGAAAATATTGATTTTTCACAAATTTATATTTTTATAATCAAATACATTCCGTATAAAGTGTTTATTCTGCGATCATCCATCATCAACTTGTACATTTGTCATGATACTAATGTAGGTTGTTCACTTCAAAATACGAAGAATTTCATCAGAGCAACGAGGATAAATTGTTTGTTTCTTTGTCAAAGAGAATACACTAGTTCAGATAATAATAATAATAATAGATTTCTTTCCACAAAAGAACAGCAAGATCTTAATAAATCAATACTGAGGTAGTTGAATACCATTTAGTTATTTCTATTTTATAATGTTTCTAGAATGTGAAAACATTAATAAAATTTTGCTGCCATTCTTTGTGCAAAGTTCACATACATCAATAATAACTAGAAATGTTCTAAGAAACAAAAAAGTACAAGATAAATACATGTGAAGTCTACGATATCTATGAATGATTAACGGTAATATTGATTAGTATCATTTTTTTTGCTTAACATCGATCAACACTAAGCAATGATTTATAATAATCAAATGTCTTCTTTATTATTTTTTTTCTTGTATTATTCGACTTATGAAGTAGCCTATCAATCAATATTGATTCTGGCAAATATATATCTTATTGACACATAACATTAATTATAACAAAAGACAAAAAAGAAGAATTTTAATTATTCAATATTCGATTGAGAATCAACAAAAGAGAAAGAAATAAGAATTAATATAAAAAAATAGAATGTTAATCATAAAAATTAGTACAATGAACAAAATGAGAAAGAAAAAAAGGAAACATAATTAATAGTATCATTTATGATTGTACAACAAAAAGATATAAACAACAGAAAAAATTATTTTTGAGTTTTCCCAAACATACCAAAATGCAACTTTACAATTCATCAGTTTTATTTTATTTTATTGCACATATCTAATAATTGTTGAATTTGTTTTTTTTTTTTTTTCTTAGATGAGAAAAGTTTGTCACATCAAACACTCTATTTAATCTTTATATTGATTAGTCAATAACTAAAATCAATATTATTTGTCAGAGTTATTATTTTGAGAATCGTCTAAATCATTAGTTTCATCTTCATCTAACAATACATTAATCAATTCATGGTTTGGTTCATTCGTATGTTCTTTTGTTGCCATTTGTGTAGAACAATGTTTAAGACCTTTAAATATTGAAAATACAAAATAATATAAAAGAACAAAACAAAAAAAATACTCTACACTTACCTGAACAATAGAGAATAGTCAGCGCTCCTAAGAATTAATAAATATTTTAATTTTTTAAAAAATATCAATTAAAGAAAAAAAAACAATAAGCAAAATAAGATCAAAGAAAGTTCTATATGTTTCTAAAGCTAAGCCTAAGATTCTTAATCTTTTCTTTCTCAAAGTTACCGGAATATAAAAAGCATCGTTGAGCAATTATATCTAAGAAATTCCCTTTGATTAAAATTTTACCTTGATCTATCAATCGAGAATATATTTTCAATGCAATCTAAATTCAGATATTGTTTTTTATTTGTTGAAAAACCTCATAAATATGAATGACGATATCAACTATTGAAACAGTTCATAGTATTAAAATATTGTGAATTTTATAAAGATTTGAGGATACTTTTTTTTTTTTCTCTCAATATCTTTATGAATATATACCTAATGCTTGAACTTTTTCATCAATATTAGCAATTTTAGCACGAAGTTTTCGTTTTTCATTTTCTTCTGTTAAATTATTTTCACATTCACTAGTCATTTCATCACGAATTTGACATTGTAAATTTATTTCTTGTTGTAAACGAGAAATCTAAATAAATAAATGAAATATGATAAAATTTCAAATTATTATAACTACTAACTTCATTATCAAGTTTATGTTTGCGTTCATCAGGTGTTAATTCAGAAAATAAATCTTGTCCAAATTCACGTGCTTTAGCATAAAGTGCTGTATCATCAACAGCTCTTTCATGAAGTAAATGTTCAAGATTTGTAACATCATTATTTTCATCAGACAAACATGTCTAAAATAAAAAATCAAATTTTATTTATTTTTTGAATAAAATTTATTTCATAGTTGCTTTACCGTAATAATATCTCGTAAATCAGCTTCAGGAATATTTTCATTAGGTCCTAAAAAAAAAAGAAATTTTATGAATATTTTCATTTCATCAAACATTACTTGAAATTGGTGTTGCTCGAGTTTGTTTTGTAGAAGTATTTTCAGGAGTAGAAGATAATCGTTTAGATTTAAATTCTCGAAGTTTACTATAAGCTGATGAAGCAGCATTTGCTAGTTTGGAAGATGTGTGTACGTGAGGAGTTATTATTGTTGATCCTGCTGTTGAATTAGACAAAGAACTAGCTAACGATTCATCACTTTTTGATAAATCTGATATTGTTGAAAGATTTTCAGCTAAATTTGTTGTTGGATTAGCATTTTTATTTCCGAATGCACGAAATGAACGACGTGCTGTGGAATCCAATACAGAAAAAGCAGCTGCAGCTTTTGTTGACAAACGATGTGCTGTTGTTGGTGGTACTGTTATTGGTGATACTGTTGTTATTTGATGACTAACAGGATGTGATACTAATTCATCGTTACTTTTAATTGATGTTGAATCAGCATCATCTGTTATTACAATTGCAGTATCATTCAATTCAATATTAACTAAACCTTTATTATCATCATCGGGTGATGTAGAAATTTGATTAGTTTTTAAATGCATTGGTTCACGTGTACATGGTGTTTGAGCATTAAATTTATCTTCACATTTTTTATGTATTGTTATCAAACAATCATGACATTGACGTCCTGTTTTCATCCAAATTTTTTTTTTACAATAATAACATACTGTTGTAACTGGAAATCCTTTATCTTCAAATAAATGATCTGTTATTCTAAATAGAAAGAAAAAGAATTTTAAATTTTAAAAAATTTTCTTTTGTATATGAAAATAAAATTACTTTCGTATATATGATTCGTGTTGTTTATTAATTATATTTATATAATTTAATTGAACCTGTTTTTTTTCGTCTTCTTTTATTTTTCTAGCCAAATCAGTTAGAACTGGTACATTAGCTACAAATTGATCCTTTTTTTCTTGTGAATTTAAGTTTGCTTCAATTTCTGGTTGATGTTTGATATTTACTGTTACACAACCATGAGTCAAATTATCATCATAACCTTTATGTTTACTTAATTCAAGTCGTTGATTACTAAAATAAAATTTCATAAATTATAAATTCTATAAAAAATTAAAATATAATCGATAAATTAAATTTTCTCATACATTTTGCTATTCTAATAGATATATATATATTTTTTTAATTTTACCTTTCAGAATCTGTTAATGAAGCATTTCTAAATAGACAAAAAAAAAATTTCTCATTAGTATACGTCTATGTACATAAATGTTTAAATTAATTATATAAATTAAAACTTACAAACTAGAATTTTCAGAATAAGGCGATCGAAAATAGAGCACCATTTGAGTTTCACGTTTAAAACTCATATGTGCATCAAGTACTATTTGTGAAAGAGGAACTGTAGCCTAAATGAAATATAAAACATAAGTGTTATTATTTTTTTTTTATGACTATATGTAATTGTGACTTACATAACCAAGTAAGATAAGTTTCTTGCCAGCATTTGGTACATCAGAATCAAGCGGTGGTTTACACCATAAGCAAACATTAAGAAATCGTTCATTTGAACCGACTTGAAAACTAAAGTCATTATTAATTTCCATGTACTATATTAAAGAAAAACAAGAGCAAATAAATGAATTTTTTTTTTGGTTTTTTATAAATTTGTATAAAAACAAACCGGTTCCACTTTTTGAGGAGCAGTCGGTTGAGCTTTAAATTCTTGTAAAATATTCGTATTCATCATAATTAGAGTGATCTCATTTACAGTACTTTTCTATATCAAAGAAAAAAAAAAACAAAACTTTCAAAAGAGAACTTTTTGATCAATTATTATCTACTGATTGTTTTAATTTTTTTGTTATATTTGTATGTGATGGTTTGATAGAAGTATCTTCTATATTAACATTTTGTATTTTTTCATCATCATCACCATCTGATGGTTTTTTTTCTACATCAATTGAATCGTCATTTTTATCAAACTTTACTAAAGAAAAAAAAAAAAAGAATATTAGAAAAATCAATCATGAATAAAACATTTAAAAAGAAAAAAAAACATCGTACTGCTTGGTTCAACAATTCTTTTTCGTACATTGACTGGTGTTGAAGACTTATCAGTACGTATTGATAATTTTGGTGACTGTTCATTCTGATAGAATATCAAATTAGAATAAAATAAATTCTTTTAATTTTTTTTTTCTTTACTTGTTTTTCTGTTTCTATTTTATTAAATGATTCAATTGTATATTGTACTCGAACACTATGTAATAAAGGCATGCCAACAATAATTTTTATTTTATCTTCAGCTACATTTGTTGTTGTTGTTGTTGTTGTTCCATCATTAGATACAACAGTTGGTTTAGATTTTAATAAACGATGCATTTGTTTAATTGTTTTAATATCTTGTCCTTCTATTTGAAGTAAAAATACATTTCTATCTTCTAATGCTGCTTGAAATGTTGTTATATTATCTATGCTATTTGGTATTGGATCAATTTGTTCAATTAATAATTCTGTTCGATTCATATAATTAACTTCTTTAACAATTATTTTATTTATATTACGAACAATTTCAATTTCTTTCATTGGCCATTGTTGACGTTGCATATATAAATAATCAGTACACATTTGTTCATTAATATTTACAGTTAAAAATACTGATACAAATGAAATTTTTTGTTTATCAAATATTTTTATTGGAATTGAAAGACGATCACAATGTTTAATTTTGATATTAAATATACCAGGTATAAGATTATTTCCATTAGAAGATAAAACTTCAATTGGTAAAGATTGTTGTGATGTTGGAAAAAATGGTGTATAACGAATTTTATAACTTGGCCATGTTTGTTTACGTTTTA